AGAGGGCGCCACAGAGTTGAGGGGTGCTGCCCCCTCTCCCTTGACCCATGTGTGAGCCCCCTCACCATTTGGGGGAGATGCTTTGTATCTTTTCTTGGCAAAAGTATTGGGAAGCTTAGGGCAGCAACTGGCGTCCGCACAGCCACACTTGGAACTCTGCTTCCCTGTCTCAGGGAGGACCTACCGCTGCCAGGGGGTGGGGTGGGGGGCTCCGGTGCGGGGGCAGGGGAGCCAGGGGCGACACTGGCCACCGTTGCCTGGTGCTCCCCTGCTGGCACAACGCTGAGACCCAAGTTCTCCTTTGACAAAGGAGAGGAAAACCCAAGGAGGAGCTGGACTCTTAGGACTATGGCCACTCTGCAAAGGAAAAACGGGGAGAAACTGCAGAGCCAGGCCCTGAACTCAGACCCCCTGGCTCTTAGTCCGGTGCTCTCCCCTGCCCACCCTGCCTGGCAGGCAGCAGAAGGGAAGTGCGGTGGCCTCTGGTGGCCCAGCTAGGAGGGGGGAGGCTACCCTGTGCCTGAATGCCTTGCTAATGACAGAGAAGTGAGAGAGAGGGCCAACAGGACCTGCCTTCCCTGCCTCCCGCCTTCGCTGGCTCTCTCCAGGGGTCCTCGCTGAGTTGGCTTCCCACACCAGCCAAGCTGGCCCTGGCCCAGCTTCCTTCTCGTCCCTAGTCTCATCCCTCCCAGGAGGCCACAGGGGGACCCTCCCCGCCATACCCTTCAGGAGCACTACGCAAGGGATCTTCTGAGGCCTGCCCTTAACATTGGGAGGGCCCAGGACAGGAGTAAAACATGGGCCCATATATCCTATGCTAAATACTGAAAGATGACAAACCGAGCTAATAGCTTAAACTATGTTCTGTCTTCCAGCCTTCACAAAATATGACTTCATTATGACCGGAGAAGGCTGGTTGGAATTTAGGATTCTCACACTCCCCTGAGCTCCTCGCCAGTGTAGGGAGACCTGGCCCTAGGCTAATGGCTGACCCCCACATCTGTCATGCATCGGGAGGGGGGAAACGCAGTGGCGGGCACAGTCAATCCTTGACAGGGTGTACTGGGAAAGATCTAGAAGTTGATCAGGAATTCCAGGGTCCAGGTATCTAGAATGTTATCTGTGAGGGGTCGGTAGCACATTCCCTCAGCCCCTCGGATCCTAGCCCCATGAGGCACTGTCATGGGCCCCGCTCCAGTGTGTCATAGTTCTAGGGGCTGCAGAAGCGGGAGGAAGCGGGAGGGGTGTTAGTGGAGACGGGGAAGGTTCTCTTCTGATGGCTCTGTTGGGGGGAGGGGCGTCCTGGGCCAGCTGTCCTTGGCAGGCAGTTACCTGGCAGGGATGAGGCAGAGGGGGCCTGACCACTCTCCCCCAGCCCACCTGGGCAGCTGCTAGGAGTGGTGGGGGACACCTGGGTCTCCCCGAGAAGGGGTTTCCTGACCTAGTGTTCTCTGAAAAGTGTAGGGGGCCAGTGGTTGAGTGCACTGGTGGTCTGCTGGAATGTGGGCAGGACAGTGTCTACACCGTCACTTATCACTGCTGAGCCATGCCCCCGCCACTGCGAGATTCCTGGGGGCCTCTACTCGGAGTGGACGGTGGGTGCAGCCATCTGCCTGGTGGGCTCAGGATGTGGCTGAATTGGTCCTTTCAAGAGACCCAGGCGCCCTCTGGAGGATGCTGGAAGAATTTCACCACCTTGGTTCTGGTTGCACAGGCTCTGAAGCCAACTCTCATCCCCATTCCCTCTCCTTCCTGCTCGGGACTGACCTTCTGATTTCTTCTTCCACCCCCACCTTTCCCATAACCCACCCCCACATCATTTCGAGAGGCCCCTCATATTAGGAACCAGGAGGACCCAGCATCCTTAGGGTCCTGGCATCATGGGGCTAAGTGACGGCGGTTTGGGCTTACCTGGGGTTGCTGAAGGTGCTTCCAGAATCCTAGTGTATATGGAGGGAGTCCTTTCTGCAAACTGAGGATTTTGTACCATGGTGTCGGTCAGGAGCTGTGGGCACCCACCATTGCTCCCACGACTTGTCTTTCTTCTGCTGCAGAGTGGGGGGGGGGGGGGCCCACACCATCCGTCTCAGACACACGCCATCGGAAGCAGGGAGGCAGGTTGGCCTCCTTCCACCGTGAACACCCACTCCAGCTTCAGGGGGATCAGGCCCTCACCCTGATCTCAAGGAGGGGATGTGAAGTGCCCGTGAGAATTGCAGAACCCAGCATATAACAAATCCATTCAACCCCCTGCACCAAACTCTAGCTCAGCTTCTAGAAGCATAGGGCTTGTTGGAGAGAATTTAGTGTTCATTCTGCCAAACACCTCCTGATAGGCCCCTGATTTACCTTTCTGAGAACATTTCCCTAAAAGGGTTTATGATGATGACTCCTTCCTCTGTCCCTTTGAGGTATACACTTATCTCCTACAACTCAGGAGTGTCTTTCTCAAGGACCTGAAAGCCATTCCTTTGAAATGTGATCATCAGGAAGGATAGGGCCTGTCTCCCGGTCTCTGTGGGAGGATAGAATCCAGACTTTGATCATCGCCAGCTAGAAGGCGCGCCTGGCCTAATTGCATTTACACCGGCCAATCCTTTGTCATTTATCACTTCTCTGACTACGGGAGCCCCCGCTCGCCCCTCCCTCCTTCCTTGAGATGCCCCGTCACCTCTGCGCGAATCGAGCCAAGCTCAGCTCTTCCTCCCACTGTCAGTGGTTACTGAATAAAATCTGTTTTCACCCCTTTAATGTCTGGCCGTGTTTATCTTTGACACCTAGCTCCCTGGCTGGCTCAGCAGTCTTTCCCTTCTCTGGTTTATTATAAACACATATGCATACACCCCCAAACCACCCTTTATTCAGAAGATTCCGGAAATTTGGAGGTTATAAGTATTCTTGGCCTTTTTGGCCCTGGCAACCCAGGTATCCCCATCAGCTATTCAATGGCTAAATTGAAAAAGACCATTTTTACCTCTCTCTGGATGGAGAGGTTGGGGTCGGAGGGCCCAGAGATGGTGAGGTGAGGACTGACACCTCCTGTCCACCTCCCTCTCCCTCTGCCACCATTGTTGGGCCCGTGTTTCCCTGCTTCTCAAGCTCTGACCTTTACTCATCCAGGGAAGCAGGTCCCTGGATTTACAAACCAGGTACATGCCTCGCACCTTTCCCAAGATGAGATGTGGGGCCACTAGGCCCATACTCCTCCCCTTTGCCCTAAGCCCGCCATATCCTCCAACCCAGACTGGGGGTCCAGGTCTGTGGGGGGCTGCCCCAAGCCCAGTGGTGAGCAGTGCTCCTGTGTGTCCCGGACTAGACTGAGATAGGCTTGAGAATGGGGCCCACTATTCCTTCGTCAGACCAGACTTGAGCACCCACACACCCATCTTCCCGGCTTCTGAAAGGTGGCCACAGTCCTCTGGACCCACAGCTGCTTTGGGCCCTGCACATCCTGTCCCCAGAGCACAGCCCAGGGCCAGAACTCCGGACTCCCCCAGGCCTGGCCTGAGCGCCCTGGCAGTGAGGACCCACCAAACCTGGGCCGGAGGAGGGGGTTTCTAAGAAGACAACAGTCCTCCAGCAGAGAATGCCCCAACAGGAGCAAAACCAATCTGAACCATCTTCCTGCCAGGGAGTTGGCACCCGGGGCTGGGAGAGGATGCTGGTCAGGCCACCGAGGGCCTGGTTCCTGTGGGCAAAGAAGTTAAAAAATAACTTTGGAATTTGGTCTGTTCGAAACTCTGTTTCTCAAAATATGTGCGAGTAAACATGTGCTGGTCAGTCAGGTGCTGTGTTGCTCGGGGTGGAAAGGGTGAGGGGGGAGGGCAGTGGACCTTGGATTTAAAAATCCTCAATGTGTGCCTGCTTTGGCTTTTTTTGGAATGGGTTGAGGTTCTCTCTGGTACATGGTGTCAGGATGAGTGTATTTGTTTTGACTTTCACACCCTCGAAATAAACTGTGGAAATGGGAGGGGGAGGGGAGAAGAAAAGGAGTAAGGTTGGAAGGGCTGCCATAGTTCAGGGGTCCCCTCTGTTCTTGCCATACACACACCCCCCCACCCAGAGAACGTGTGACTTGCTCTGGGCACATCCATCAAACCAGAGCCGGGCTTGGGGGCCTGTTGTCGCAGTGAGACAGGGTGAGGGGCTAAGGGACAGCTAATGAAATCCGGAGCCTGGGCCACTTCCCATACATTCTCCTCTGACGGAAGAGAAGCCGAATGAAGGAACGAAGTCTCTAAACTGAAAGGGAAGGCACTTGACTGAGACCACACAGCTGTGGTAACAGAGCTGGGATTTGGACTCAGTTTTGGTTCCGGTGGGGGAGCAGAACTTGTTCTCTGGTCCCTTCTAAACCCGGCCCCCAACTTCCACCTCTCCTTGGACACTCATCAGTCTGGGGTGGGGGGGGGAGACCTGACCACGGATTCTGGGTGTGGGGGTCAGCACTCTATGCCAGAGGGGGGCGGGGACCACACAGTTTTCAGCCTGGTTGAGAGTGTACTCGGTACTCGGTACTTTTGGTACTCGGAAGCAATGGATGTATTTGAAACAGGCATGAGGCAGCCTGTCTCCTCTTTTAAAATATCACCCTAAAAGTCAGCATTAGAACGGCTTCAAGGCGATAATCCAGGTAAGGGTTGCTAAAGGCCCAGCCTAAACCAGGGGCAATCCAGAGAAGGAGCCAGAGCTGAGGCATCTGAGACAGAATGGACAGGGTGTGAGGATTAAGGCAGAGAGAAGACATGGGATGTTTAGTCAGGGTGAGTGGGTAGCTGTGGGCCTTCACTGAACTCGAGCATATGTTTTTTATTTTTATTTATTATTTATAACATGGGATGGGGAGGGGCAGAGGCAGAGGGAGAGAGAATCCCTTGAGTGGGGCTCAAGCTCACGACCCCGAGATCATGACCTGAGCCGAAGTCAAGACTCAGACGCTTAACCCACTGAGCCACCCAGACGCCCCGAGGTTATGTGTTTTTAAATGAATGGTCTCAGGCCAAAATTTGGGACAGTCTTTATTGGAGCTTGGAATGTCACTGCGATTCACCTTCCCCAGAGGCAGACCGTGCGGAAATGAGCCGCAACGGCGGCGGACACGCGGCACGGGCCGTCTGGGCTACGTGGGGGACCCTGCTCGCCTGCAAGCAGTACATGGGCACACACACACACGCACATACTCCTACACAAACTCACACTCACGCGTGCTCACTCACTCCCAGGGGGTCTGAGGCCAGGCGCCCTGCCTGCTCCGTTGGCTCCCTGCCTCCGGGACAGGCCTCTTCCACTCTGGGGGGACCTGCTGAGCTGCGACGGAAGGAAACCGCTCGAGGAAAAGGCCAAAGGAGCTGGAAGCCGCAGGCATTTAGCAGTTTGGGAGAAGGGGATCCAGGAAGATGGGAGAGATTGCCAAGGACCAAGCAAAGGGAGCCCCGCCGGGCCAGAGCATGGGGCAGAAGATGCTGGAGAGGGGCATGGGAGGGACAAGGGGTGGAAGAAAACGCCATCTCTTCTCCTTCACTCACTCCAACTGCACAGCTGGGGCCAGAGCCCTGGGCATAGGAAGCCTGGGGAGCATCAAGGGGTCCCCTGTGTCCTAGGAAGGCACTAAACGGGGAACAGATCCTGGAGAGCCTCGAGTCTCCCCCAAGTACCCCAAGGGGGACAGAAGGGGAAATGACGGAGCGAGAAGGGGCTTACATGCTGGTTGTCCAGGGAAACGAGACTGGGGAAGCACAGATCCTGCTTCCCACCCCAAACAGGGGGTGGGCAATGGGCTGAGAGGCAGCCCCTCTGGCCGGCAGAGGGGACGGAGCCAGAGCTGCCCCTTTGGTCTCCAGGGCAGTGAGCGGGGGAGCCTGGCCTCACCCATGTGTCCGTGGGGGGGCAGAGGCAGGAAGGAAGAATCCGAGCCTCCTGCCCCCGAGGGCCGGGGCTACCAGAGCACAGCCCCGTCCAGGTTCCCATAGCCTGGCTCGGCCCGAAGCCTCCAGTACGTGTTGTTAGTCACCCACCACTCCTTCCCACTGCTGTCTGTCTGCCGCCTGGGGGAAGGAGAGGGGTGAACAGGCAGAATTAAGGCCAGGGTTCCCGGATGCTGCCCCCCACAGCTGCGCCCACCCCCCCATGCCCCCGCTTAGGGAGCTGGAGGGGAGCCTGGATGGCAGAGACCCCGGGAGAGGGCAGAGGTACCTGAAGAAGCGAGCCTGGTGGACGATGTTGTTCTCCTCCATCACTCTGCGCCTGTCCCGCTGAAGCTGCTCGATCCTTCTCTTCTGGGCCTCAGCAGCCTGTATGTTCCCCTCCTCCAGGTACCTGAGCTTCCAGACGGCAGTCAGCGGAACTGCCCCCTCCAGACCCAAGGCCTCTATCCCCTGCCCAGCTCCCTCCACAGAGGACCCATCTCCCTGAGGCAACTCCAAGAAGGAAGGGCAGGCCCAGCTCTGTGTGGAAACCCATGTCGGGGAGGGAGGAGCCCACGGTTCCAGGGTGAGGCCTGCCGGACACTGACCTCTGGTCTGGCCGGAGCCGCGTGTCCGTGGAAGGCAGAGACCGTTTCAGCTCTGCCGTCAGCTCATTCAGCTCCAAGGCAAACTGAGTGAAGCCGAAGTTTCGCTCATGGTCTGGGGGCATTGAGTCTGGGGGGAAGGCAAGGGGCTGGGGCAGGTGGACCGTGCCAGAGCCACCCTCACCCCTGCCCAGCCCTCCCCGACCGCCCCACTCACTGGGTTTCCAGATGCACTGACCGCCCGGCAGGGTCCCCCGGTAGAGCCCTTCGTGCCACTTCCCAGAGAGTCGGTGGAGGACGCGGCCACTCCGGCTGAACACGGCACCCTGCACCTCGTGGATGTTGGAGCTCCAGTACTTGGCCTGGGGTGGGGGTGGGGGGGGGGGCAGGGCACTTAGGGGTGTGCCCCTCCCCTTCCCCCGGGTGAGCCGCTGGGGGCGGACAGGCAGGGTCGGGGTGGCGTGCCCACCTTGCAGAAGGTGATCTTGCAGTGGCAGGAGCTGTCCTGTGTGTTCCGGATGAGCACCTCCCCATAGTGCTCGATCCAGCGCTGGCCACTCAGGATGTTGTGAATGCAGGACGTCACCTTGTTCCACTCAAAGTGGTCCCCGAACCTGAGAGAGACAGAGCGGGGGAGGGCAGCTGGCCGGCCCTGGGGTGCAAATGCCACCCTGAGCCAGGGAGCGGGTCGTGGGGGTCTGTGGAGGGAGCACGGGGGTCCTGGTTTTGCCTCTGCCGTGAAGGAGGACGTATTTATCAAGCAGAGCAGCCCCCGCAGAAAATTTTGAGCCAACACGTCTCCATTCATTTGATAAATCTCCTGAGGGCCTAAGTCATGGGAATAAATACATAGACAGGGTCCCTGCCCTTAGGTGCCAGGGACCAGGGTAGCTCTGTTCACATATATTACCCAGTTCACTTCCCACTTCTCCTGGGTACTACTCACTACTCTTATTTTATAGAAGAGCAGACTCAAGGCCCTGGGGCATCAAATCTCTTCGCTGCTTGCATTATTATTAAGTGGCAGAATCAAGACTCCCAGCCAGGACTTCTGACTCTGAAGTCCAGGAGCTTCCCGCTTGTGCACTGGCCTCTAGCTGACGCCTGGCCCATATGCCGGCTAAGCCCCCTCCCCCTCTGGCTGCAGTCCCCACTTCTAAAACGACATGAGCTAATGAGGGTGTTTCAAATGTGGCTTGTGATTGACCCTGAGGTCAGTTGAGGTTTCTCTCTCTGTGTGTGTGTGTGTGTGTGTGTGTGTGTGTGTGTGTGTGTGTGTGTCTGGGTGTATCTCTGCATTGGCTTGAAGTCTCAAATGCATTTCTTACTGTGAGTCATGGTCAAAAAAGTGTGAAAGCCACTGCATCAGATGACCCTGATGAGCCCTTCCCGCTCTACTATTCTAAGATTTTTCACCTTTCTTTATACACAACACTGTAAATACAGGTGTAAAATGTACAGACACTGCCCTGGCTCAAGCAGTCTCAGGCCAGACCTTTCTATCCTGTCCCTACTACCTCGCCACACCAGCCTGGAGGACAGCCTGTGGGCCCGGCCTGGCCGCTGAGCACTTAGGAATACTCACCTGGGCAGGCTGACGTTGACTGTCCCCACAGGCACAATCTCTAAGGATTTGCCCCAGAACTTGTTCTTCCACTTCATGTCTGGAGAGGGAGAGGGAGAAATGAGACCAGAGAGTATTCTAGCACTCCACATGCCCTTCACCGCCATGTCCACCCCACCATGCCCCCCACTCCTCACCTTGCCAGAAGACGAAGTTCTCAGACTCCGCATGGCACGCCGAGATGGGGGGGTGGTGGGAGACCTTGTGAGCAAAGAAGGGCTCTTGACGCTGCCCCTGAGGACTGTGGGGTCTGCTGCTGACCCCACGGCTTCCCGAAGCCCCTGACCCCCATTCCCAGTTCCCCTTCGACCCAGAAGACCAGTTAGTTCCAGGTCTCTTGTTTCTGTTGTCCTTTCTTTTCCCATGAGGCCTCACATTCCCCCTTCTCATTCACACCCCCGAGAGCCCCAGAACCCCGGTTCCAGCCTATGAAGTCCTCTAGCAGTGACGGCTGGGGCCCCCTCCTGCGCCCTGCCTGGAAGCCAGCCCTGCCGAGGACCCTCTCTCCCCTCGTCGTCTTCTCCCTCACCATTGTCAGCCTCCACACCACAGCCCTGGAAAAACCTGGCCTTGTCCTCTTGGAACGGCTCCATATCTGGAACTTGAACTCGGGTATCCCACAGCCCACAGCCTGGCCTCTCTCCCCATTCCCTGTGGCCCCTGGCTCCTCCCAAGACATCCAGCTGCTCTGCTTTGTGGTGGCCCGTCAGCCCCGGCTTCACCTCCGTCCCCCCTGGTTGAGATTGCTCTGTCACCTGCACCCTCTCACCCGGCACTCTTGACAACCTGCTGCCACCACCTGCCACAACGCTTAGCGTCGATCGGCCTCCTCTGTGCCCACCCCTGGCTCCCTGCTCTTTAGACACAGCCACTGGGCCGCAGAACACACAGCACACACTGGGAACTTTTCATTCTACGCTGTGTCCAGCCCTGGGCCCAGCTCTCCTCCGGGGACCGACACCCAAACCATCCCCTTCACACATTAACCCCCCACAATCAGAGGGAGAGCAGAGATGGCGACTCCTTCCACCGACTTATGGCTCCCACCCTGACTCCAGTCCCCCGAAACCCACTGCCAGGCCCAGCCCCCCTCCTCCTCCTCCTGCCGCCTCGCTCCCCTTCCTGTGGGCTTCCTCCCTCCCCAAACCCCCTGCCCTGCAGCCTTTCCCTCTCCATTTCTCTTTCTCTCTGAATAGAAATATCTCCTGTTTCTTCCGTCTTAAGCAAGAGTAAACCTTGGAGCACCTGGGTGGCTCAGTCGACTAAGAGTGTCCGACTGTTAGTTTCGGCTCAGGTCATGATCTCAGGGTCCTGAAACTGAGACCCGCGTCTGGCTCCGCACTCAGCGCAGAGTCTGCTTGTCCCTCTGCTCCTCCCCCCTGCCCTTCTGCCCTTCTCTCTGTCTCTAAAATAAATAAAATCTTTTAAAAGAAAAAAAAGATGGGGCACCTGGGTGTCTCAGTAGGTTAAGCGTCTGCCTTTGGCTGGGGTCATGATACCAGGCTCCTGGCATGGAGCCCCATGTAGGGCTCCCTGCTCAGTGGGGAAATCTGCTTCTCCCTCTGCCCCTCCCCCTGGCTGTACTCTCTCTCTCTCTCTGTCAAATAATTAAAATCTTGAAAGAAAGAAAGAAAGAGAAAGACCTTCCCTGGGATATGAGATTGTGAGCTATTTGTATTTTTGCTTTTCTCTTTTTGTTATTTTCTAATTGTCCAACAATGAACATGCATTATTTTTAACAGGGGTGAGGAGGGGTAAAACAAAAATCTTGTGCTATGTTGTCTTTTTAAAAAGATTTTTTAATGTATGTATGCATTTATTTATTTAGAGTGTGGGAGTGGGAGCAGGGGGAGGGGCAGAGGGAGAGAGAGAATCTCAAGCAGACTCCCTGCTCAGGGTGGAGCCCCACATGGAGCCCAACCCCGGCTCCCATCCGGGCTTGATCCCACAAACCTGAGATCATGCCCTGAGCCGAAATCAAGAGTCAGATGCTCAACCCACTGAGCCACCCAGGTGTCCCTATGTCGTCCTTTTAAAGAAATACAAGGAGAGCATGAAGGATGCCACGAATTCCATTTGGCAGCATCTTTGACACCATGAGCAAAGTAGACACCATGAGCAAAGCTCCCCCCGCCCCGAAGTTGAAAAAATTTATGGACAAGAAATTATCATTGAAATTAAATGGTGGCAGGGATTCCATACCCTTATGAATCTTGTCCTAGATGAACGTGTGGAGATGGCAGCTAGTGGGAACAGAATAATGGGGTGGTAATACGAGGAAATAGTCTCATCATTTTAGAAGCCTTGGACCGAATGTAAACAATGAGTGTGTTCAGCGGAAAAATCAACTGCTTCCACATGTCCCCTCTCCATAACACCTGTTTTACTACAATATAAAAATCAGGTCATGTGCATTTTCTGTTGAACTTTTTTGTCAAATAAACATTTGTAATAGTAAAAAAAAAAAGAAAGAAAGAAGGAAAGGAAAGAAAAGAAATACAAGGAGACACTCACAACCTAGAAAGAGAACTTGGTCACCACCTCCTCTCCAGACACGGGGCCCTAAATTATTCTGCCTTCAGACATCCCTGCACCCACACCTCTTGTTCTCACCCCCTGTGGCTCTTCGGCCGCATGCTTCCCCTTTTCCATCCTCCCCTCAGCCAGGACACTCTTTTTCAGATAGTCATCCCCGGACACACCCAAAAGCCATTGAGATGGAGGAGGGGGCGAGGGGTAGAGGGTGTTGTGTTGGGGGAGGCCGTTAGAGGATTGCGGTGCCGTGGGCCTGCTCTCTCTGCACGGGGCGCGGTCCCCGGGTGCCGGTGTTGGGGAGGGGAGCCGCCTTCGTGTGAGCGGAGACTCCGGCCCCCTCGGTCCCGCCCCGGAGCCGGGGCTCCCCGCGCCCTCCGTCCCGCGTCGCAGCCGGGCTTCCCCGCCGCGGGGCCACC